AAAATAAAGACTGTTCACTTCGAGGCATTCAAAGCCTTACCTAAACTAAGTACCATTTTGTTAGCAAACAACGAAATAGAGACCATAGAACCTCGGGCCTTTTCAGATCTTCCAAACCTCATGGAACTTGACCTGCAGCATAACAAATTGAAAGAGTTGTCGCTAAATGCATTTTCTAACGTGACCAGCCCAACAACACCTCTTGCCCTCAATATTTCGTACAATGATATCCAAGAGCTATCCACGGGGTCAGGACCACCCATCCTGCTCAAAAGCCTGGATGTGAGCCATAATGCTCTTAAAGAAGTGCCTATCAACTTTCTCGGAGCTTTTACATTCTCCATTCAGCGTCTTGACCTCGGGTACAACCTCATTAAGAAACTCGACAGCAGCGCCTTTGGGCCTTTGGGCACCCTCCAGATGCTCATCCTCGAACACAACGGCATTAAACAAATACGTCCTCGTGCGTTTTCCTCTCTGGAAAAAGTCCAGCTTCTTGATCTCAGTCACAACCACTTGGAGAACCTGCCACCAGAGTGCTTTACTGATGTTGCATTCCTGCGTGTGCTTGATCTCTCCTACAACCATCTGCGCTCTCTTCCCAATTCTGTGTTCCGGGGCACACAGCTGGAAACAATTGGACTTTCACACAATGAATTTGTCTCCATGCCTACTGCGGGCTTCGCAGAGGTGGAGACGACCCTACATTACCTTGACATCTCAAATAACCACTTAGAGCACTTGGACAATACAATGTTCTACAGCTTTCCAAACCTTATCGAACTGAACCTGGCCAACAACCGGCTCACGATACTACCCGACAACGTGTTCATCAGCCTCACGAGTCTCATCAGTCTCGACCTCAGCGGTAATCCAGTCCGAGCCAATTTCAAGGAACTGTTTCACTACACACAGAACGTCCAGAAACTCAACTTGGCCAATATTGGATTCAGTTCCTCACCCATCATCCCGCTCCCGAATCTCAATTCCCTTAACTTATCAGGAAATTCAATGTCAGAGATCGAAGTCCAGTCAGTTGAGAGTCTGCGTCAGCTGAGGTCGTTAGACTTATCACATAATAAACTGAGACATGTGAGATCTCGTCTGTGGAGACATATGCCCTTCCTGAAGTTCCTTGATTTGTCGTCTAATCCAATTGAGGTAAGAATTAACGTTCTTTTACTGCCGAATTATACGTAATGAAGTGTTCATGATTGTTTTCTTGTATTGTTAAAGTGCTATATCCTTATGAGTTTTGCGGTAATTCTATCTACTCTGCTTGACTAAATTTGTTTAGGAAAAAATGCTAATATAATTTTATAATGTTTAAATATAAAAGAAAAAGGATGCTCACGGTATGAATTTGATATTGCAGTCACTGACAAAAGATAGCTTCGGTGGGGCTGCAAGCATCGAGACTCTGGTGCTAAGCAATCTTAACAAGATCAAACGTTTTGATTACGATGCCCTTTCTCATATGACGTTCCTGAGAGAACTCTACATGAATACCTACCCAAATATCGAAAAATATAGGTGAGTGGCTTCACGATTTTAGAACTTGCTTGTTCATACTGGGGTGTCCAGGAAAATGTTAAGGGAATTTTATCATCTTAATTGATATGAAAAATGCATGTGGTGACAAAATACTTGAAATGCTGACTTCTTTACTGACTTCTTGTAGCATTTTTTAACAAGAAACTAACAGAGTACTTAAAAGCTCACTCACACACACACACACACACAAACACACACACACACGCACGCACACACACGTATATATATATATATATATATATATATATATATATATATATATATATATATATATATATATATGTATCTCTCTCTCTCTCTCTCTCTCTCTCTCTCTCTCTCTCTCTCTCTCTCTCTCTCTCTCTCTCTCTCTCTATATATATATATATATATATATATATTATATATATATATATACATATATATATATATATATATATATATATATATATATATATATATATATATATATATATATATATATATATATATATATTATATGTATATATATATATATATATATATATATATATATATATATATATATATATATATATATATATATATATATATATATATATATATATATATATATATGCATTACGTGACATGATCCCACGTGGGATCATGTCACTTGACCCTCTATGAGAGAGAATTAGTGAGTAGCTTCGTGATATACGCTTCCTAGATATACGAGTTTTTCGTCAAAAACTCGTATATCTAGGAAGCGTATATATTCAATCTATACGTATATATATGCACTTACTAACGTTTACACCTAAATGCATAAGTGCAGACATAGTTGCATGCATGTATCATAGCTTTTAATATGCAAAGCAAAGCAAAAATCGAAAATTCTTATATTATTGAAAGGTTCCGCGTAGGTCACCTGCTGGCCACTGTTCACACACTTAAGAAACTGCACCTGGAGGTGCGCGAAAACGCCCTTACAGACCAGATCACGGGC